CCGCGCCTGGTTCTACAGAGGGAACCCCTCTCCTCAAGCAGCCAAACCGCTGAGGCACTGCCCTGTCTTTTTGCGACTGGGATGGACCGGAATGCGGAAATCCTGGATTTGAGGAGTCCTATGAGGTTGACATCATTTTATTAGAGATTGGTAATACAAAAAACAGTACTACTCCATGAGGTATTCAAGGAGGTTTTACTGGGCCTGTAGGTAGGGCACGCCACTCCTCTCTGGTCGAAGATCCCACGTGGGCTGGCTGGTAGGGCCCGTTTTTCCCCCCGATCTCAGTCCTGCATGCTTGGCAAAGTGGGCAGAATACCTCGGAGATGGTGAACGTCCAGGGTGAACGTTTTTGGCTGAATGATCAACATACCTGGGACCATCCTGTCGACGCTTTTCCTGGCTGGAGTACCCTATACTGCGTATGTATAGGTTGTACCAGTATGTACGTATAAATCATATTGACATATGAATACCCTGGGAGTCAAAGACTATAAAAAGAATAGTCTTAAAGGGCCTCAAAGGGAACTTCCTGAACACTTCAGCCAGTCAACATATGGGCGAACTGGACTTCTAGGGAATATGAATGATATCTATATGAATCATGATATCTTCAGCTCTGCCGGGCGACAAGATGGGCCGACGGATCACGATCTCCGAGGGCCTCCACCGCGCGCTCATGCCAGCGACCCTCCGCGCGGCAAAGGTCGTCGGCGTCGCCGCGGTCGTGCGCGCGCGCCCAGTGAGCTGGAGGTAGCGCGAACCGCCCAAGGATTGATAGACCTGCAAGGGGTGGATGGGCTGGTAGGATGGGAGTGAGGCTCCATGGGCTTGGCTCCATCTAGTCTATATCCAACCAATTTGACCCCTGTTTTGATAGGAAGTTTGACCATATATTTATATGTTGGGTGGTTGGTCCAAAACAGAGGTTACAAAAAAGGCTCCAGGGGCTTGGCTCCATGTGTTGGAGACATGTGGAGAGAGAGAGAGAGAGAGAAAAAACACAACTCATGAAACGCGAGACCAAACCAAAAGCCTCGGTGAGGGATCAAACCGATGTTCATCGTGGTTGACCTGGGCTTTTGGTGCAAAAATCTTCAATATCACAATGGTTTCCGGCAAAGGCTATTAAATCGATGATGGTTCCTCAAAAAGACCTAGGAGCAAGAAGCTACTAGTAACAAAGGGCATCGCTACGAACGGAGCAAGAACGCTACAAACGGGGCTCCTGGCCTTACTACGAACGGAGCAAGAAGCTTGCCATGACCCAGTGTGAATGCTGAAACCTCCCCACACGGGATCCTGCATCCCGACCGACCTCACGACACACCCGACAGCTCGCGCACAGCTCGGCTTGCAAACACTCGGCGCACCTCACAGTGCAAGAGCAGCTTGCCCAAGATGTGGTCGCCCAGCAAGGAATGCAACTGAGACCACGCCTCGTTCTGCAGGAAGCTCTCGGTCGCGAGACGCGAATGGAACAGCTCCGATTTCTCCGACGCCGCCTGCTGAGCGCGACGGAGCAGCTCCACCAAAGGTCCCGCGCAACCTGATGGTGACGTTGGTCTTTTGGTCGCGGTTTCTGGACATTGACAGGGACGGAACTCCTGTGGTCTTCTTGCTTCTTCTTTTGTTGGGATGGTGCTCCAAAAAGCGGCGATCCAACCAAATTCAACACTCCGAGGATGTTGTTTGGATGCGACACCGTGCAAGCCTTTAAACCTATTGTACTGTAGGCGAACTTTGTCAAGACCGGTAGAAGACCTCTCACATAACCAGCAAACATGATGATTTCATATGATTTCTCATTGGGTCTGACCTGACTCTCACAGTATGGTTGACCTGGTTTTGCAGTGTTTGCAGTGTAGTAAAACCCGTAAAACAATGGTTCTCTAGCAAAGACCATTACCCTAAGAATCCGAACGGGCTCTCCATGGCACACCTCCCCATCCCGATGGCGACCCCGGTCGGTCGCCCCGCGACCGCTCGGACTCGGACTCCCAGCTCCGGCCCGGCCGCGCCGCGGCCGCGGAGGCCCGGCGAGGTGGCGCGAGCATCGACAGGGAGACTTTCTCGTGTCGAGGTCGCTCCAGCCACTTCACCTGAGGTCGACGCTCGCGGAGGTCGACAGGCGCGATTCACCGGAGGAAGTCTCGGATCGTGCGGATCGACCGAGCGATGCGACCGTGCCCGAGATGGTCGAACGGTGCAGGTTGTCTATGCTCTGGGAGTCACGGGGAGCTGAGTCAGGGAACTTCCTTTACTTCAGTCAGTCTATATATGGTCGAACTGGACCTCTAGGGTATGGTTGACTCATTCAAATGGTCCATGGTGTGCGAAATGCCAACCACATAGAAGCATCAAACACAGGCATGTCTGAGAGATTCTGAGAGCAAGCACATTGATACTCGGCCTGGTCAGAAGGGTCATGGCATTGTTCGTTCAGCCCAAGAATCCACTGGAACAGTTGCTTCTCGTTCCCTAGGCTTCCAACCACCATTGATTCAATAGTCTTTGCCGAAAACATCCGAAAACCCTTATTGTTGTTAGGATTTTAGACTACAGCACCAGGTCAGGTGGCTCCTCCAACCACACGCCATGTGCCTTGGTTTTCTCCAGGGCTCTCACAAGTTCCGAGGCAAGCCCGAGCCACGCCGCCCAAGAAACCAACGGCTTACCCAAACGCAACCCTGGACCCTCCTTTCGGTACGGGGCCGGGGGTTCCCCGAATCCTCGGGTCCAAGGGATCTGAACCAAGGATTCGGTTTTGACCTCTTTGGACCGGGAAAGGCCTTGAGACCGGAACTCGCGTAGGCGGGTAGGCGGTTTCAACTCAAAAACCTACGACTCGTTCAAGTTGTTGAACATCAACATCTGAAACCACCCAGATCTGCCAAGAATCCGAGACCAAGTTGATCTCATCTACCCAGATGCTCCGTGAACGACGCCCTGAAACTGGTCCCTCAAAAAACTTGGGGATTGGTGAAGAAACCCCGAAACCCCGACCCCAAGGGATTCGGGTCCGACCCCGGGCCCAGGGACTGGCCCACGGGTCACACACTGAGCATCCACTTTCTCCTCGCCTCGCGGCACAGCGTCCGCAGCGCCGGGGAGGCGTCCAAGCGCTGCATCCAAACGCGTGCCGCGTCGAGGTTCGTGGCGTCCAGCTCCTCCTACGACGCGTCGTGGTGTCTCAGAGCGTTGGGGATGGAGGATGGAGGTGAATGACACTTCTGGCTCCATCCCAACCGACCTCTGGCGGAGAGAGCCGGGCCAAACCCTTCGTAAAACAGTGACGAACGTTGGAAGCCTCAAAGGCTTCCGTGGCCCCCCCGGTGTGAATGGTGGGTCTAAATGAAAAAACAGGAAGATCCTTTGTTTCGGCAATCCTTTTGTGTGGGAAACACGCCAAACGGAGAGTTGGACTCAGACCAAAGGTGGGATATGTGTCGAAGAATCTGACTTTTAGGGTAGTTGGATACAGTTTTTGCTTGTTTTCGGGGGTGTTTTTGGTTGTTTTCAAGAGAACCAATTCCGGGAGCTGGATGCTGCGGTGGTGTAGTTTCAGTGGATATGCTGCAGCATTGGTGCTCAAAGGCAGCGAACGCTTATAGAACCTATATCTACCAGCACTCTCCAACAGCTCACCACTTGAGACCTCCAAGGCCCATCGCAAGCCTCTTTAGGAAGACCTGTAGAGTTGGGTGCTGGTCACTACCGCTCTATATGTTTTAAAAGGTACTTGGTAGTTACCGGCACCATGGAGGTCTCCGTTACCCAGACCTAGGGTAACCATTTTGGCCAGACCTCGGGTTCTGAACACGTGTTTTCAACGCAAAGGATTCCTGTCCCTTTCGAAACTGGGAGATCGATGGGCTGTTAGCGTGAACACATGCAAGACGGAACGCACGCACCACCGCGTTCGAACAAGACGTTGCCCGCATCGGAAAGCATCGTTGGGCACATGGCGTTTGAAGAAATGACCCATGCAGCGAACGGGCAAACCAATGTGTGTGTGTGCGTGAAGAGACGGAGACCCCCCAGTTCGAAGCAATCCCTTCCCCGTGGTAAAATACTACAGCAACCACCCCAAAAGACGACTATAGAAGACACCGTTGTAGATGCGACTTCGCTTCTTCTCAGCATCAAAGAAACCGAACAAGCGGCCTTCACGAAGTGCCACAACGTCTTCGCGGACTGCATCTTGTTGAACTCGTCCGTGCTCCGGCCAGGTCCGCCCGCCGAGGAACCGGCGGCCGGTCGCGCCGGTCGCGGTGGCCGCGCCCGGCGCTTCTTCGCCATGGCGGCATGGGGAGTGAAGAGTTGGTGAAGAGAATGAGGTTTTTAATATGACCAGTCTTGTTTGTTGAGTGGTTGGATTGACTGGGGCGATTGTTGAGTGGAGGATTGACTATTGATTATGAATATCTTAAAGTATGAAACTTGAATCACAGCAACTGATCACACTCCACTTCTTTTCCTACCCTCCTAAGCAGTAACCCTCCAAACCGGGTAGTAGAGATACAACATGTTCTTAATGCTAGCAAAAGGTCCCAGTTGACACCAGCAGCTGTGCGAGGGATACAAGATGCAATCACGCTGGCTGATGCCTTTTCAACCAACCAGGGTCATATCGAAAGTAAAAGAACATGACCAACCAGGGTCTTTTTGCTCTACACTCCCGAGAACTAACATAGACCCTGACGTCCTGGCCCCCCTGGAAGATGGTTTTCCTATGTTTTCCTCTACCAACCAGTGGTCTTCAGGGTCCATGGCATCGTCTTCCAGGGTGTAGGCTTTAGCTAGAGCGTCTTTGGTCCAATTCATCACCCGAAGAATCCGAGTCCGGGCTCTCGGCGAGAGCAACCTTCTCCCTCGAAACGCAGGGGTCCGGACCCCTTCACCAAACCCTATGTATTTGAGGGTCCGGATTCCAAGACAACATCATGGTTCATCCTGAAGAGGACTTCAACCCTAAATGTCTGGGTATGTCTGGGCAACTCCAGTGTACCAGGACCATTTTCCGATGTCGCGGTGCCCATGTTCTTTCGCTACCGAAGGAATGAAGGGACTCACTAGCCCCTTTTTGTGGTCTTCATAGGTATAGCTCGTCATCCTTCACATCACCCCCAAGCCTACAGGATCTGATCAACACTGTCAAGGTCCGCTCCAATCGGCCCACATCGTCGCAGTTGCCTGCCCCTGGACAAGGAGTACTGAAAGGAGAAATCCATGGTATGCCTGGTGCCGCCAGACAGTGCGCCCCGCTGTTGCTGGACGGGGCCTTCATTGTTTGGAGGGCTTTGGAAAGATGACATGCCCCGGTCTCGTCCAAGCAAAAGAAGTCCAGTGGGATTCGACTTGAGACTTGACATGGAGGCGCAGGCCATGCCCAGTTGGAAGGTGTGTTTTTTCTTCTACACACGAGTGATCTTGGTGCTTGCATGATGTTCCATGTTCCTTTTCCGGGAGTGTGCTTTTTCTTTTGGCACCTACACCAGTCCTTGTTCTCGATAAAATCCGGACAAGCAATCCATGAGCCGCCAACGATGAACATCGATTCCCATAAATCCATAGCTGGACCCATGCTGCGGCCATTTCAACCCGATCTCGATGCCTACGTATGCCTACAAGACTATCACTAGTCACTGTATATCCCGGTCCCTATGTTCTTTTCGCTGTCATAGCATGATCCTCAAAAATCTTCAACCCCCCTTTATAGAACAATGAAACTGTGCTCCAGCCACTGGTCTTGGCTCCTTTGTTGCACCTTTGCCAAGCAAGCAAATCTGTGTCGAGATCTCGACGCGAGAGCCTCGATCCAAAACTAACGAGGTTCCGACGGGTTCTTTGTCACGCACCGCACCTCCTTCTGGCCCAAAGAACCTTCTCCTTATCTCCGCACCTGCACCATGTGGACTGCAGTCCAACGCACCAGCAAACGCCACCGACTTCGACCGAAGTTCGTTCCGCTCCGTCCCTGGGACCCTGCGGGAGTGCTCTCAAAGCAACTATGACACTCTTAGACACTCTTAGACACTCAGACTATGGTGGAGTGTAGACATCTGCAAGGTGGATAGCTGTGAAGGGATGAACCAAAGGATACATGCGATGTTTGGTGGAAAGCTCTTATATAAGAACCATTTGGGCGCCCTTCGGGCCGGCCATCAAAAGAATGGCCGACCTGGTTTCCAGTAAGGTTGTCAGAATCCTTTTGACAGCCTCCGAAGAGAAGAACCATGAAGGATGCCCTAAGAGTCTCCAGTCAACGGAGTTCCTGCGATCTCTACGGAGTTCCTGGGGTTGACTTTCGCAGTCAAACCTAAGAGTGAGCTTTGACCGTCTCGGCGCACATGCGAACTCTCCTAATCTCACTGACGAGCTCTCACCGGGCTGGGTTCGGGTTTTGAATGAGAATTGACCCGAACACCGGGAACAGGCGTTCACGCCCTGTCATCTCCAACCAAGAAAAACGACCAAAGCCACAAAAAACAGGGCCAGTCGCAGTGAGGAGTCCCCTCCAAAACCTCTGAGACCGACCTGCGCATGCCAAAACACCCCCAGTCAACGTCTCCTCCGTCGCTTCGAGTCCCCTGACACGTATTGGTTTTGATGAAACTCCGTGAGCCACTCGAGAAACAGTTGACGGTGCATCAAGGGCTCCGACAACTCCTGGGCGCCAGCGCGGTCGCGGGGGTCGCGCGTCGCGGGGGGTCGCGCGTCGCGGATGCACTCGGCACGAGCGTGGCGAGTGGCAAGCAGGAAGCTTCGCGCGATCTGAGTTCGAGCCCCAACCCAAAACACTTCCTCCACATCCACCGGAACTCATGGGGGCCCATCGTGTTTCTTTTTGGAGGGCAAGATAGGGCAAGTGAAAAAGACACAGTAAATCATAATGTATAAGCTATCTGAAACAAGAACAAAATACACACATCACACATCATGAGGTTCTTTCAACTCAGAACTCAAGGTCAAAACCTTGATGTACCATCAAAAAAAATCAAAGGAGCTCAGCAACCACACGTTTCAAACGTCCGGGAGAGGCCACCTGGCTGCTGAACTCACTTCCCAACCCACCTACCTCTCGACCTTCGGCTTCTTTAGCCCCCAGGCCCCGGAGTCGAAGAGGAGCCTCGCTCGGAGCCGAAACGGCGGGGAGCGGGTGGAGACGGCGGCGGCTGGAGACTTTGGGGTGAAGAAGTGCAAAGCAAAGGCCTCCGCAACGAGGAACCTGTTGCTTGAAGCTGGAGTCTGTCTCTCCGTCCATGTGGGGGGGGAACAGTTGATTTCGGCTTACACCCTAAAAACGACTAACATGGTTACGTGGAGAATGGCCCCGAAAGGAAGACCATTTTCGACTACAAATAGGTGGTGCCATCCACTTCCATGTTAGTTTTCGGGAGTGTATTTTAAATTTGGAGCCCAAAAGAATGGACTGCGCCCGATGCAAAGCTCCCTCTTTCCGTCCCTTTCCCCCCCCTTCACACGAACCTGTTCTGGTGTCTCACCTGTTTCTCCATGCGGACCGTGACCGACCACTTACCACCAGTCTCTTTTCACTGCTCCCTACAAGTCAGGAGCTGACCTCACTGGAGATGGTCATACAACCACCCATATAGTTCCTGAGGTCAAGTCGACCAGCTTTGGACCTACCTCAGACTGGACGGCTGTGGCTTGCTCCGCCCACCTCGCGGAGGCCGCCGAGCGTAAACGGCTCACGAAGTCCAGCTCCTGCCGCCCGAGCCGATCGAGGTGACCGGGCCCCGGCGGCCAGTTGGAGCGACCGACCGAGGCGCTGACCACGTGGTGCGGTGTGTTGGATGAGATGAAGAAGCTGTGAAACATGGGCTGCCGTCCCCAAGCAGAAACCGGTTGGAAGGTCTCGGAAGGCCTCGGGAGATCGGAAGATGGCTTAGCTTCTTCTTGATCTTGAGATCGACCTGGGAACGCCCCAAAACGACTAGTGACTAGAACTGGTTGTTCCAACACGGTGCCAGCTTGAGATCCGGAAATGGCTGGGACTGGAGCCAAGGAAGGTCCAGATCTGCTTCAAACAGACTTCCCAAGGAGGTCTGCTCTTCGCACACTTTCAGGTCTCAGGTGGTGAAGATCACCTCTTTCAGCGACGAAAAACCGATGGATTCCTCCTCCAACGGCCTTCCCTGCTCGTTGACATCTTGCGGGCTACCGGCGACTCGTTTGCCGACTCGTTCGCCTCAGCTAAGGGCACTGTGAAGACCTGCACACCTCTCTTCAAATTCCGGACTCTCCAAATGCCCAAGGATTTGCTCCATGACCGTGCCAAAGAAGAAAAAGGCCTGGGCTTCACCGCGGCCCCGTGGGTCGTGGGGGCTTCAAGAGCCCGCCAACGGCGAAAGCACCGTGCTCTCCACCCGTGCTGATCCCCTGCCGTCCTCTCGCATGAAGAGAGGACTTGGCATCGAAAAGGCATCTTGCGACGACATCACTGACCTCGCGCCAGCGGAGACCGCAGTGCGTCCGTGTGTTTGCGGCACGAAAGATGGACCGTTGATCAAAGACCCTCGTTCATCAAAGACTTGAGGTTGTAGCTGCATGCTGAACAAGATCATGCAAATGAGATTCTTTGTCCCCCAAATCATACAGTGAAAACTCTTCTTTAAGCTGTACCTAGCACTTCCCGTCTGGGTGCGGAGTAGGAGACCTGTTTACGTAGGATAGGCTAGCCAGGACACCCAGACAGGATGATCCTGGTACGTCCGACCGACGTCGTTGGGCACGGCCGTCGCGACCGGTCTGACACGATCCTGCGTCGCGTGAAGCGACCGGTGCTCCTGCGAAGTGGGCTCCTGACAGTTCGGAGTGTCCATGGAAAATGGCTATATATCCCTCCACCTCAAAAGGATCAGTTTTGCAGAAAATGGGTGTTCCAATAGTTGGTCACAACCCCCCTGAGCAGCTCAACACGGACCCTGGCGGTCCGTCCCGGGCTTCCCCGGCGCCAGGACCACGGCGTCGGCGACGACGCCGAAGTGCGCCCCGAGCCACACGAGCCGGGTGAGCCTTGGGAGGGTTGAGAGGTGTGGGTGACAGGTGTGGAGTTTGGTTGGTCGTTTTTTGGTTGATTGGTTCTTGAAGCTTCGTAACCAAAAAGTCAGCAATGATCATAATAATCACAACCTCCAGAAAGGTTCTTCTTTTGTACCTACCAGGGAGGTTTTGATGAAGATACATAGCATATGCATTTTCTTTCGGTCTTTCTTCTGTTGCCGGGATGGATGTTCCTCCATCTTACCGAACTATAGAACCAGCTTCGAATCACCCGCGCATTTGTTTTCTCAAGCGACACGTGGAATCCAATCTCAGGCCGCCACTTGAGCTCCAAGGGGAGCTGGAGGCACAAATACCCCAGGGCAGTGATCTTTGCTGCCTCCAAAACGACGTGTGGCACGTCAAATCGTGACCCGCGGTCAAATCGACTGGAGTTCATGGCACCTGGCATCATCCGTTCATTCGCAGATGGCTGTGGGTCAAAACCAGATCCAGTCTGACCCAGGTCCAAATGGGGTCCTTTATACCTCATGAAGGAGTGTTTTTCCATGACCAAATCCAGTCAAATGAGGTCCAACTGACCTGTAGGGTGGGGTTCTTTCTCACCCCCAAAAAGACGTTGTTTCAAGCGTTTCTTCCGCCCATCTCGTTCTTCGTTCCACTTCCGCTCGTGCCTTGGGGACGCCACACCCCGCACTTCCGGTCCGATCCGCCCGTTTCGGACCGCGGCGCCACGCGGCGCCGTGCACGGCCTCGGTGCCGTCGGAGATGGTGCCCAGCTCCGCGTTCTTCTGCCGCGCCGCCGTGACGTTCTTCAAGTCGGGCGCCTGCGAGCCGAGAGTCGCGAAGCGGCGCGAAGGAGAGCCGGAGAGCTCGAGAGATCGAAAGCGCGAGCGCGAGCGCGGCGCGGAGCCGCAACGAGCTCGTTGGGGGTGAAGGAAAGAAGTGAAGGGGGCGGAGCTGCGGAGGGCGGTGGAGCGGTGTGGGTGGGGGGGGCTTGGTGGTCTGGCTGGGAATTTGGGGGATCAAAGGTGGCAATCAACAGCTCATACGGCTCATGCGGGTGGTCAAAAGCTAGCCGCAGTGGGTTGACAAGTCCTTTTCTTGGGGGGGAAGGGAGGGAAGCACGATGTTCAGTCATAGGCATAGTTGTCAGATGTTGTCAGGGTGGTGGGTGGAAGACCCATGCAAACGCCCCCCGCTTTTCCTTTTCGAAGAAGCGCCTCCTCCTCTATACTAACGGACGGACCGGTGCTGATCCGAAGTTGAATCTTCCTCACATCCCTCATGACCTCGTCGTAAAATGAGACTCATACCCTTCCACCACACTGGCTTTTAGGGCACCAAAGACAGCTGGAAACCTGCTCTTGACTCAAGTTCTTGAGCAAAGTCTGATCTTTTGTTCTGGTGTTCTGGCACTTCGACTGGTTGAAATTGGGTCACTCGAGCTTGCATGTGTAGCACCCTCGGAAGGCATTGCAATTGCACATGATCACTATAATCTATATGCTATATATCTATAAGCTATATATCAAGACTTCGTCCAAGTACCACACACCTCCCACCCTGCAAACTGGTGAAAGCGGCTCCTCCCGGACTCTCAGACTCCGACTCCCGTTCTGGTTGCACAGCTCCGCTCCCGTTTCGCGCCGCTTTCGCCGATCCCTCCTCGGGCAACTGGGACAGGAGCTGTTGCGCTCCCTGAGGCCTCGGTAGGTGCGGACTGATTCGACGAGGCGACGAGAGGTACGGACGTGAGGGACGTGAGGGTCGCTGGTCGAAGGGTTTTTCCAAGGACCTGACTTCAAGGTCACCTGTAGAAATGGGACATGACTCATGACTGACAATGATCCCATCACAAAAACAGGCAAGTACTTTGTACTGTACCCCGTTATGAAGTCCAAAGACTATATATTTTGACTTGTGGAAGGTAAAGGAAGTTCCTGAACTCGGGTCACCTATACAGTTCATTTTATGAACCGTCTTGGACTCCCAGGGGTTCTCCCCATGTGCTACGACGCTACGACTCGCAGTTCAGGGGGTGCGAAAGACACACCGGTGTCCTCGGCCCGGTTACCGAGGGCCGCGCGCGCCGTAGCCCTGCAAGGACTGGTTCAGTTGCACCGAGAGCTGCTTCGCCTGGTCAGATGGGCAGATGGGCCTGGATGGGGGGGCAGAGCTGCGATGGAGGCGCTCAAATAAGGGTGGATTCGATGTTAAACTCCGCTGAAGGCTGAGCTGAAGCTTGTATAGCGGCCCCAACGACCTGTCTAGACCTTTGAGTCTCAGCAAATCAGTTTCTATTTTATAGATTGGATGTCTTCCTAGATTGACCCCATCTTCCAGCAGAAAGATGTACATTGAGCTACACGGACTGGACTTCTTTTCACGGCCCGGTTCCGGGTCTTTTGCGGGGCCCGAACGGACTGCCCAGGCAGCGCGACGACGCAGTTGGGGGGGAATTCCATCAGAGCCGGGGACGCTGAAACTTCTTCCTTTTGGTGAAGATAGGGACATGGGGAGACTGAATGGCCACAATGGTCAGTGATTCCTTACCTGACCCAGTGCATCCCAGTTACCACTATATAATGGAGCCAGGGATTCGTTCGGTCTATGGTGTTAGTCTTTGGAACCACTGGGACTCCCAGCGACATCGTGGTTTGCCTGGATGGTCTGGGTGAGTGTTCTTTCCGCTGATGTCTCGTTGTTCTCCCTTGGATCCCCACATCCGAATTCCCCCCATTCCCGTCACGGCAAGCGCAAGCGCTGTGCGCTGTGACCTGCAGGTAGAGCCGGTCCAAGGCCATGGACCTCCACTAGCTCGCGCAGGGCGCGGGGGGGGGATGGAGCAGACGGAGGTCAGATCTCCCAGATATGGCATCCCTATGGGCACTTACAGTAGTATGGTCATATACCAGGACCCTCAAGGGTGGTTAATGGACACCCCGAATTCTCAGCTGTTTGGGGCTATTATACCAGGACATACCAGGACCCGACACCGTGGGGGTGTCTATTTGCACCAAACAGCTGTGATTCGGGGTGTCCATTAACCACCCTTGAAGGTCCTGGTATATATGGCATATTTAACCTTACATTTTGGGGTGGTTTCAGGATGTTGCACTTAGTCAATGTCACTGAACATATGCCACACAAAGGATGTCCGGGTGTTTTTCTTTAACTTTTTGTTTTTGGGGTGAACCGAACATAAGAAGGAAGTTCCTCTCATTTTGGGGGGGTAGCTCAAAACAACACCTTCGGGGTTCTTACAGTCTGAAGCGTGATCTAGTGCCTGTGTCGTTTTTTGGTTGGAATTATTGGGATAGCTCCTGCCACTGCCACAGTCCTTGTAATTGAGCTACCTCCATCAAATGAAGATTGTCACCCAAAAGAACCAGTCAAGAAGATGTCTACCTTTTTCTCACGCTATCCAAGATTCTTTATACAGCTTCTGAACGACATTCTCACCCCGATGAGCCTCTATGCAAGCGAAAGACGTGGGGAACCACCCCCCCCAAGAAAGAACAAACACATACACACCATCACCCCATTTGCATCCATTTGCACCCACTTCACCGTGCTTCAACGGAACCCCCGTCGTTTCACGACGAGACGAGGTGACACGAGACACGACCCACGTCTTCGTCCGACCGAGACAAGACGGTCACGACGACGAGGACGAAGCCGCGCTTGGACTCCGGTGGCTCGAAGTCGTGCATCTGCGCGTTGAAGAACCTCAGCTGAGCGTTTCTCCGGAGAGATCGGCCTGGGAGGTGGGTTTGGCGGTAGGGATGGGATGGGGATGGGGGGGATGCGGATGGGGATAAGAATGAAGGAGTCTGGAAGGATGCGGAAGGAGTGGAGGCAAAGATCAGGCTGAATGGGTCCAAGAGAGGACGCTACTAACAAGAAGCTACTAGGGGCTCCTGGCCTTACTACTAGGAACAAGAAGCTACTAGGAGCTTTTTCGTCAGGCTGGTGCTGAAATAGCTAGCTGTCGGGTTTGGGGTGGCCTAACTGCCTGGAACGAGTGGAGAGTCGATGGAATGTCCACCAACACGCGAGACTCGGCGCTCGCGGAAACAACGGCTCGCAGCTAGTGCGTATGAGCCGTTTGTTTCGTCCCATACGTAGCTGATGTACCCCCATGAAGAGGTATTTTCTATCTAATAACCACCCCAAACTGGGTGGTGCTGGTAGTAGCTGGCTTGTATGCGCAGTCCCATGGAGTGTGATAGGACATGAGGGACGTTTCGCCACTGTAGATCCATCCACCCGTCCAGTCCTTTCCGTCTCGACGCAGAAGGGAGCTCAGGGAAAAACAGTCAGCTGCAACGGCTTGGGAGGCTTGGGCTGTCGGCAGGTGGTCGCACCAGGTTCGTGCATTTTAAAGTTCCAACCAAATCGCTGATGGGTTCCATCTCGGCCCCGTTTCGGGGGGGGAGGTGTTCACCATCCAAATCGCTGATGAGCACCCGGAAAAAACCGACATACCCGGATCTTCTCAGTCACCTTCTCCAGCCTTTTGGCTGGTGCCAATCCGGCTAAACCTCACGATGCATCGGACGATCCGCCTTTCCCTCTGGCCGGGTCGCTCTTGCGTGTACAAACGAAGGCAAAGGCCCGGCTGTGTGCGCCCGGCGCGCCTGGGGCCCGGCCGCCCGATGGTCAATGGCGTTTTGGAGTCCAGACGCTCCGTGAAAACAGGCCTTTCTCGGTCCCGAAGCAAACCGTGCGGAGCCCTCCATGTGAGGCTACGGCCCTGGTCCACTGGTCCCTGAACGCAGGGTCCATGAGTGGAGCGTTTCAATTCCATTTTGTTGGAGGCTAGCAGGAATGCGCAAAAACGCTCGTGAATCGGAAGATCCAACGCCGCCGTCTCGTGTGGGCAGAGCTGGGCGGCGTTGAGGAAGCAACGAAGGTCGGATGGGTGGAGTTGACTCGCGCTGGTCGGATGGACGCTGGATCTTCCTCACGACCTCCAATCGAAGAAGCCCGACCTCCAATTCGAACGGACCCGAAGAGCTCGAAGAACACGCGTCGGACGAGCTCGGACCCGAAGCCAACCCTTTTAGCATTGGAGAAGGGCCCGGATTCTTAGGGAGCCTTTGGAAAGGGCCCCATTTGGGGCGCCTGAGGCGCCGGGCCCACTCCTTTGCGTGGCGGCCGCTTTGCTAATCCTCGAGGCCCAACGTGGCGCTCCACGCCGGCGCCACCCGCGAGAAGTCTAGAGAACTGCCACGGGTCTAGAGTCTAGAGGCATCCCCACTCAGAAGTTCCCTATGGCAGAACAGAACATCCCAAATCTAACAGATCTCAACAGTGCCTCACTTGGTCCCCCTCGCGGGTGATGCAACATTCTTGCCACCCTTGGCGCTCCGGAAACCTTGAACCAACTCGGACCTCTTGCTCCCAGCCTTCACTGGATGACGATGGTTTAGTTGCAGGCCTTTCTCCAAACTATAAGTCCTATGATAGTAATTTCTCAGACTGTCACAGATACTGGGACAAACCCACGCTTTTTCACCTGAAAAAACGCTCCACTCGACCCCGGGACCGTGACCCCTCAGCGCCAGCCTCCCGCCCGCCCTCGGTCTCCAGACCACTTGGTGGCCAAGGACGCAATGCCCTTGGACGCATCGTGGTCCATGCGACGATGCAAGCCCAAGTCCACCACGGCCACCACCTGCGGGGCGCATACCGCCGCCGGCGGAGGAAGAGCAAGCACACCGGGCCGGCGAACTAGCCAGCGATGTCCCGTGTCGGTGCCTGACCCGCTAAGCGGGTCCAAACCCCGAAAGACACCGAGAAAAACGGGGGGGCGAATGCCATGCCGTCGCGAAGGTCATTCTGATTCAGGTCTAAAGGGTGGCCGCATCTGGGTCTCTAGCAAATCTCAATGGGTGACCTGGCAGCATGCTGATGGGAAATCTATTGTGGTTCCGTTATGGTGAAACACATGGGAATATAGGGTCCAAGAGGCAAAGGTAACTCTTCAAAAGAGGGAAGGACCTAAAACCCATCTAAAAACCGCAGGGAACCAACGGTAGAAATATACGAGCATGTTCTAAGACTTTTCTCTAGGAACCCCAGGAAATCGAAACCTCAATGTTTCAACACAACAATCCTGGTTCGATCTGGGTTGAGGCATGCATCATTTTGGCTGAACCCGGACGGACGACGTGTTTGACCGGACGGGTTCCGCAGAACGAGATTTCTCCAATGACTGGCGGCCTCAAAAGGAGGCGAGCGCCTTCGATTGGATTGTGCCAAGGATTCATGGCCCACCATTGCCTTTAAACGGTCTTTTCATCCCCAAGAACACTGGAGGATTTGTTACACTACACCCACCACGTCCGTCGTTCCCATCCTTTAATTGAAGGTCTTTGAAGGCGAACCGTGGAATTCTTTCCCCAGTCAGTCGTGATTGGTGACCATCTGGGTCGAATGAGGTCGAAGGTAGCCCAAAATCAGTGGTTGGTCGAGAAGCTACGAACGGGGCTCCTGGCCTTACTACTAGTACTAGGAGCGATCGGACGCTACAAACGGGGCTCCTGGCGTCACTACGAACGGAGCAAGAAGCTACGAACGGGGCTCTTGTCATATCACAGGACGCACGGGAGAGTTGGTTGGTTCATGGACACCCCGTCTGGGGCTATCAATAGACCAGTCACCTGGCTAGACTACCCGACTACCCAGCCCACTACCTGGTTTTGCACACAGCCCTCATGCATTGGAGGAACCGGAAGACCCTCCTGCTTGGCCCTGTTTGATCCTTTCAAAGCGAACCGAACGACCAAAGGCTGGAAACATCATGACGAACGTCCGCTAAGAAAGCGAAAGCTGCGGCTTCGTTGGGGCGTCTGTGGCATGTACAGGTTAAACCAAGGACACGCTGTCGTGCCCTGGATGTATGGAAGGCCCAGTGAAAGTCTTCGAGGTGCAACATGACCAACTGCATGCGAAACTTGTGTTGGAACATGGGGTGGTTCATCAATTGGAGCCTCCCCCCAAAAAAGATCCCAAGCACAGCACGGAATCCGCGATCCTCCGCAATCCTCGACTCCGCCCGTCGCTTTGTCCGGTTTTCTCCGGGCGAAGTCCGCGCTTTTCTTTGTCGCGGCAAAGGTAGGATGGTCCTGCATCGCTGGGTCGGCACGTCCGGACCCCTCTTGGGGCGTGCCTTGGGCTAAATTCCTCGCCCCACCCGGTGCTTTCGCGCCGGGCATGAAGCATGAATTCTCCACGGGCGAGCGAAAAGCACCTACTGCATCCAGATGGGGTGTTGGCATTCAATCGATTACCACTAATTCTATAGAGTTCGAGATCACAGGTTCAATTTCCAAGAAACATGGACAGTGAAATGCTTCTTCTGCGCCTGTTCGGTCTCATCTGGTTGAACCAAGAATCCGAACTCATCCATGTAATCTTTATCTCTGGACTGGGTGCTAGTGTCTTCATCCTTTGCCACAGGCCGACCGCATGAGTTTTGGGGGATCAGTTGACTGGGTCTTCCCTTTGATGTTTTCGCCCCTCCTTTCCACCAACTGTGACCGTTTTGCATCATCTATAGTTTCAAAGTAGACGCAGCAACTCTGATAGACCGTACCTCTGGTAGACGGTACCAAAGGCGCAAGATTGGAAAAACAACACTAACCCTAGAAGTCCAGTTCGACTATATTTTGACCGGCTGAAGTAAAGGAAGTTCCCTGACTCAGGTCCCTTAAAGACCATTCTTTTTATAGTCTTTGACTCCCAGGGCTAATGGAAGAATGAATCCGCATTGCAACTCCCGAACGTCATCCTGTCTGGGTGTCCAATAGACGACCTTAACCTATTTAACAGGTCTCCTACTCCAGGGCACCCAGACGGGAAGTGCTAGGAAGGCCAGATCTTATTCCAAACCAAACACGGACACCTCTGATCGAGAAGCGCACCCCCAACCAAAAGCTATTCCTACCTGGACCATCCTGTCTGGGTGTCCTGGCTGGACTACCCTGCACTACTCTCCGGGATCGAACACGCCAGGACACCCAGACAGGATGATCCTGGTACACTCCACCTCCCCTCAAGTTCACCCAGCCGGTACCCCGTCCGGAACCCATGCCTTCTACGATACCTACGGGCGGTCCCGGGCGTTCACGGGGCTGGTCCTGGGCACCTTCTCCAAAGCGATGAGCCGGGCTGCCTTGGTGGCGTCCGGATTGTCCATCCTGGGCGCCGCGGCGGGTGCGGCGGCGCCGCGCCGTCGCGACGTCGCGAAGAACCGTCCGAGTGAAGCCACTCGACGGCGCCCGTTCAGCGCCGCCCCGGTCGATCCGTGGGGCGAACGAAGGGATTCTTGCGATGGCACGGTTCGGTTCGTTCTCCGCGGTCATTGCTGGGGAGGGGGGGTGGTGGGTGCGCCGTATACGTCCATGTAACTAACCGATCGGCAAAGACCAATATCAAATATATGGGCTCGTGAGGTCCGAAAATAGAGATAGGCTCACCCACACTGTATGGAGGTTCGCCTTCTTGCCTTTGAAATGATCCATGGAGGTTCTCGTGCTTCGATCATGCATGAAACCCAACGACCAACGACCAACTCTTCCACTAACCGTTTGGTCTAGGATACCTGCATCTTCCAACGGTGCGGGCCGAACCAAACCACTGGCCTGTTTGGCTGGGTTTTTCTAGATGAACAGGCAGAACTCACGACCACGCCATCCAGGTCAGACGGGGGCCCCTTTTCGAATTCGGAGACCGACACCCGGTGGCCACGACCCCCCCGGTTCGGTCGCTCGACCGGGCCAGGGGGGCTGCCAGGACCACTACCAGGACCGACACCGTTCCGAGGTGTTTAGATGGTTGCCGACACCCTAAGAGTGGCGATTCGGGGTGGTCCCAAAAGCCCCCGGACGTGGAAGGTTTCGGTCCTGGGGGTATGGATTGGACATCGTTTTCTGGTGCATGGCTCTCCCCATTGAACCTACACACTCTCCAAAGATGGTGCTCACATGATCTCACCATGATCACACACACCCATGTGTATTTCAACACACGCCCCATGTCGTCCATGCCCATGTCATCCACACCACGAGTGGTGTCGGTCTTTTAAAGCAAAGTTTCTGCTCACGGCGTGTGAGACTAGTGGACTGAACAACACGCACCGCGTAGTTCTGCTGCGTGCCTTGGGCATTCTTTTTCGTGACGAGCGAGCAACGGGCTGAAGACGGTGTGGATGGGGCAAAGAGGTTGGGACCAAGCTTGATGCTAATTAGGGTTTTTTGGGGCGATGGCATGGAAACCACTCAAAATCCCAAACCTGAAGCCCAACCAACCACTCATTCCTCATGCTGAGATCTCGCACCACTGAAAAGAATCCACACCAACACCCTCCCGCCTCGCCGACCCGCTCGCCGCGCGCCGCGGCATCCCGCGCGGCGCATGCGCATCCTGCGTGCCCCCGCCCCGCATCCGCGCACCTGCCAAGGGATAGAGCTTCTTGAGCCTTCGTTGGTCCATCCGACTGGCAGCTCCATTGGAGGGCTCCTCGTTCTGGCGGATGAAGCGCCAAATGACCTCCCTGAAGGCGGGAAGAGTTGGAGGTTGGGCGCCAACCGTGGACGGCGACATCAAACACAGGAAGAACCGAAGAGGTTCAGCCTGCTTGGTGGGATGCTTTCTTTTCTGTTTTTTCGAGTTCATTGCTTGGTGGGACGCGTTCGTTTCTTTTCTTTTTTTCGACATCAGCCAGCACTTGATGGTTGAATTCCTGGGGCTGCCTTGCACCAACTGGTGCCAGGTCCCTACATCACCAGGAATGTTCAAATGAGCCTACTTAAAGCTCAAACCCTCTTTGCATACAATGTATAGCCTGTAGATTCTTTCATTCAATGGCATGAAATGTCAAATCGAGATAGCCTGACATATTCTTTAACATAGCACCTGTCAAACTTGGTGGCCCTGTTAAAGCTTGCCGGCTTGCACAAACAGCACAAACCTACCTTGGCACCCCAGGTAAGATCTCACAGCCCATTTCAGCCATCTCACGTTTTCTTGTCTCAGGCGGGGCATTTTCAGGGGCAGGAACCTGTGCCTAACCAGTCCATGGGCCTGTTTCGACCCCGTTAGAGTTTGGAGGGTCCAACTACCTTCAAGAGGAGGTACTTGGAGGGAACATGTTTTCTTTACGAACACGGAACACATCGTCGGTCCATGGATATCGCACCTTCACTGTTCGGTAAATGAAGGGTCTTCGTCTTCCCCATGCCGTTCCGCCTTGAACAATGGTTGAACTGGTTTTTGTGATGTAAAATCCTTAGCTGGTTCGGGATTCAGCATTAATTAAATCATAGTAAATAGTGGTTGGAAGCCTAGCTAGGGCATGTTTTCTGTGAGACCGCCAGAGTGTAGAAAGGATCCAGTGAGACAGACACGGTGAACAGGACTTGAACTGGACCATCACACACGCTCGCTGGACTACCCAGCTCAGCCTACTCAATCTCCTCGGACATCCCAACAGCAGGCTCCGGATGGCTGTGGGTAATGTAGACTCTTGAGGACCATGAACCCCCCCAAGCTTGAAGAGGATGTCCCATTCAAATTGGGGAGGCTATTAATCAAGAGTCTATACAGTGTTACAGCTTCAACCCCTAGACATCCTCACCGACCCAGCCGCCCTCACCGACCCCTGCCTTCCCC